CCTCTCTCTCTCTCTCTCTCTCTCTCTCACACACACATACACACACACACACGCGCGCGCGCACACACACACACACACACACACACACACACACAAACACAAATACACACACTCACATACATCTGGCATCGGTAGCTTAGTGATTAGACTCTCGGACTCATAATCGGTAGGTTGTGGGTTCAAATCCCGTCAGGATCCCGACGTTGCGTCCTCGGGAAAGACAAATTACACGAAATTTTCTCACAGGTGAGGCTGGGTACCCGGCTATCGACGGCAAATCATGACCTTGTCAGTTTGTTAGCGTTTTAGCACATGCTATCCGCAGCTTGCAATGTATTCCTCTCCGGAAACCGAGCATGTTTCCATATATTCTCTGATTTTTCTGTGGGTAAACATGGTTATAAAGCGCATAGAGCATAATAATTGTAAAGCGTGGGTACGCGCTATATAAATACAATTATTAATATCATTACACACATACTCACACTGAACCAAACATATTCACACCCAGACAAACACACATACGCAACTCTCACACACTCACACCCACCCATCCACGCACACACACACACACACACACACACACACACACACACACACAAACACACACACACGCACTCACACACACACATACATACACGCACACATGCATACCGTATTTCGTCATTATCACATACCCCCCTCCACACTCGATTAACCAATAGAAGTGCTGCCTGTGTCATCAGAATACGATATAATTAAATCACACTTCTGTTTTTTCTTCGTGTCTTTCTCAGTGCCAACCAGACCGGCTGACCAGGGTGAGTGCATGAAATGGTTAGAGAATGAGATAAGTATAACAATAACGGAGAACAAATTATGGTGCACAAAAGGCTGTGCTGATTCGTGAGTTTACGCACGGTGCGACAACTGGAAGCTGAACGTCGTGTCGTGATTATAAGTATATTCGGCGTCTGATGTCGGTTGTGAATTGTTGCCCTCGTCTGGGTTTCGACTTTGATATACATGTATTTTTTTATTCAATATTTACGCTCGCAATGGTTCCTTCATATCCTCGATTTGATTTACATATTCCTTTTCTACCACTCCCCTCCTCTTTCTTCATTTTGTCTGTCTGTCTGTCTGTCTGTCTGTCTGTCTGTCTGTCTGTCTGTCTGTCTGTCTCACTCACTCTCTCTCTTCACCCCCTCTCTCCCTCTCTCAGAGTGTCGACAGACGGAAATTGAAAGTCGTGTTGAGAATAATAGTGTGATGACATACTGTTGTGCCCCAGAGGTCTTTGACTCGTGTATAATCACGTCACTTGGTAAAGCTGTTCCTCTTGGACAGAAACGGATGAGGAGGCATACTTTTTGTAAATGTTCTACTTTACCCGAAGCTTCACAGTCACGGTGCCTCTCTCCTTCTTCTTGTTCTTTCTTGTGTTTCATTCTACCACTCATTTGTTCGTTTCTCCCATCCTCCACCCCACCCCCTTCTCTAACTCTTTTTTGTCCTACTTATCTTTCTACTTCTCTTTGTCTTCCTCTCTCTCTCATACACAGAGCACATACACAGACACACATATGTACACAAACACACACACACACACACACACACACACACACACACACACACACACACAAACATACACACACACACACACTTCCTTCTTTCAACTAGACCAAGTGCTTTATCTTTGACATAACCTACTATATTTACAGTAAAACGTGCATAAAATCAATCCAACGTGGACAACTGGATTTGTAAAGAAAAGAGGCCGGGGGGGCAACTCGTACAACATTTAAATGTAGTCCTATGCCTTCCCTTTGAGTCTTTTTCCAAGGTTCCAGAAAAAGAATCTTAGGCGTAAGTGTTCCCTCTTCCTTTGTGTCGTAGGCTATGTATCAGAACACAGTCTCTTTCCGAGTGTGGATGTAACTGAAACTTTGACATCCTCTAACTATGACCTCTCAACCCATAAAGCAACACTTATTGTGCCCTTAAACCATAACCTCGTATATATATATATATATATATATATATATATATATATATATACTTTTTAACCTATGACCTCTTCTTATCTTAAACAATTGCCTCATCTCCTCAACCCCTAAACCATGATCTCTTTCCCATAAACCATGGTCTCGTCTCCTTAACCCTTAAATTATGACATCTCTACCCTCTAGACCATAATTTTTCCTCCCTCTCAAAAACCATGACCTCTCTACCCTTAAACCATGACCTCTCGACATTCTTTACCTTTAATTATAAATGCTCTACCCTCAAGTCATGATAATTTTCCGTAATCAAGACTCTCTGTCTTTAAACTTTGACTTCCTCTCACCTTAAACACCCCCTGACCTCACCCCCCCCCCCCCAAACCCACAACACTTTGACCTTTACCTCTCCAGTGACTGCCGCTCCTGGAGGCGGAAGTGTATCTGGTCCCACAATTGCACCCACCTCTGACGGCAGCCAAAAGAACCCTTCCCTACCTGGTAATGGCAATGGGAATGGAAACGGGAATGGAAACGTTAATGGTAACATCACCAACATGCAGTTTGTAGGGCAGAAGTCCACATTCGTTGTACAGGGAGACCCCACAACTCTTCCGGGTGAGTAAAGTTTCCCAAAACGGGGTGGTTAGCTTGAAGATTGGTGTTTTCTTTCTATATCACGTAAACATGGGTGCCACAACGAATCAGACGCTCGCCAATTTTGGGGCATGCAGAGTTATTGGTATCATCTTAAAGCTTGTTTATTTGTCTTGCTTTCGATAAGAAAAAAACATAATATATCCGTCTATCTTGAATAGAAGTCGAGATATTTGCGATTGAAGGAGAAGGGGGGTCGTCTGGTTTCAGAGCTTCAATTAGCGGGATAGGCCTTCTGGCCACCAAAATGTGTTGACTTCCATAGATTGAGGGTCCTTGGAAACCGAAAATGTATATTTGTGTGTCTTTAATTAACGTTTTTGAGTAGAATCCAAACAGAATGTTTTTAAATGGTCATAAAATAAAAGGTGTTAAGCCACCAAAAAAAATTCCGTAAAAATTCCCAAACCTGCGGATAAATGCTAATTTCTTCAATTCCACTATTTTGACGAGCGTCTGAATTCACCATTACGCCTCTGGAACGTGGACCCTATATAATATATATAT